GTGAGTTCCATTGTCTACTGATAGAACACTCTAGTACCGATTGTGACACCGGAGTGGAGGATATTTGCGTGGGAAGATTCGTTTTTAAGCTGCGTAGAGCTGTGGGAAATATATCAGCTGTTTACATTGGTATTCGTATTATTGTACAGTATTTGGTTGTTTGTAGGTTTTACAATTTTCCAAACTCTTTATTATAATGTCATCTACTACTACTTGTAAGAATACTATGAAAGTGACTTTAATCGGTGCTTCCGGTGCCATTGGTATGTCTCTTTCATTGTTGTTGAAGTTGAACCCTCTGATCACGGAGTTGGCTCTTTATGATGTCCATCAGGCTCGTATACCCGTTCCTGGTATTGCTGCTGATAATTCTCATATCAACACTCCGGCTAAGGTGAGAGGATATGTCGATGCTGAGCATCTCCCTGAGGCTGTCACTGGAAGCAACGTCATCATTGTATGTGCTGGTATTGCTCAAAAACCCGGTATGTCTCGTGAGGATCTCTTTGGTGTTGATGCCGGTATAATGCGTGACATCGCAACAACTTGTGCTAAATATGCCCCGAATGCTATGATGTGCATCATGTCGAATCCCGAGACTTCACTCGTTCCTCTCACTGCTGAGATCTATAAGAAGGCCGGAGTCTATGACCGTAAGAAGCTCCTCGGCATCACAACTCTCGATGTGACTCGTGCTCGAACCTTCTATGCAGAAGCTACTGGTCTTGATGTTGAGAAGGTTCATGTTCCTGTTGTCGGTGGTCACGGTGGCTGTGCTATTCTTGCTCTCTTCTCCCATGCTACACCTTTTGTAAAGTTGGATGAGAACACCATCAAGGCTTTGGATGAACATGTCCAGACTGCTGTCACTGAAGTCGTCGATGCTCTCGCTGGTGCAGGTTCGGCCTCTCTGTCTATGGCATACTCTGCTGCTGAGTTCATCGATACTGTCATCCGTGGTTTACAACAACAAGGAGGAGGAGACTACCAGCAACAGAAGAAGGCCACGCCGTCTGCCTGCGCCTACGTCAACTGGCCTTATCAAGGGTGTGAGTTCTTCGCCCAGGTTACCAACTTTGGTCCCGAGGGTATCGAAGGTGTACAGCCGATCGACAACTTAAGTCCATTTGAAGAAAAGAGGATGGTCGAAACTGTCAATAAGGTGAAGGGAGATGTGGAGAAAGGTATGGCTTACGTTGAGGCCCACCAGAATTAACCTGTCTTATATTCAACAAAAAGCAATAACAATTGTTATTTTGTAATCACTACACTTGTCTAGCCTTATCAGACTTACTGGGCCTCTCTAGTCATCTTGTTTTCATCGATAGAAGCGGAGTGATACTCCGTTGCATATAATTTGATGTATGAGAGACCCGATTCAGTATTAGAGTGATGCTCTATTCTTAACTATGATATGTATTGAGTTTGAGTCTTACAAACAGAGGTTATTCTAAACTTCCAAAATTGCAGTTGATTTAAATGTTCATGTTCATCATCGGCGTGGAAGTTTCTCCCTTTAATCTCCCCAAAGCCCAGGTTTCTCAATATCATTTCCTAATATTCCGTATCTGTGGGATGTGGAGGTCGGCCGACAAAGAAGTGTCGACTGGACTTCAGGCATTGGAGAGCACCACCTAGGCGAGCCTACTCCTCCTAATGGACACGATGTTCAACTGCAGCGTTCAGCTTGCACCTCAGCGATGCAGCAGCATCGGACTCCAGTCGAAACCTCTTTTGGACGATCTCCGCATCCTGAGGTATTTCCATATTAACATGTGCTGTATCATCAATTGCCGCCTTTTAGACTTCCAACCGATCGGTCCTCCTTGATCGTGTTACGGTTTTGCCTAAAGCACCGACAAGAAGTCGGTCATTGGGGACGCATGTAACCTCCGACATTTGAGACTATGTTCTGCTCACATAATGGAATACCGAGTGTTCGCTGGCTTTAGTACATTACTACTGTTGTATTCTACAACTACAGCGAGATAGTACACGCGGCCTAAACTGTCCCTCACAACCTCTGAGACACAATGATAAAAATCCAGTCACAGTCGATGGGTGTATACCATGCCCGGCCGGCCGCCGCTGCTTCAGCGGCCGGCATACCCGAGTGGACCTGGACGTGGCACACCCAATGGTTTCACAATCATAACGCTAAATTCAATCCCAACAATCAATGGTCGTCTCATAGACGCGGCCATCCGCATCGGTATTCAACGTAGGTTAACAAGTTAACCTTTATTAAAGAGGCACTTGTGTACAACAATTCCTCACAAAGTCCCCGGCAATCGTTAGAAATCATACATCCACTCAAGCAGCACGTGCAATAAATGAACTGAAGTGAATAAACTAATATCATTCAAAATGAGCTCTACTGCCACTGCTTAACGAAGATGCCTGTGATTGCCGCCTGGCATTGCTTGGAGACTGCTCTTGAATAGCTCTCAATATCAGCGGCCTCGGACTCGCCTCATGTTCCTTTGCGAGGATGCGTATACGACTAACAAGCTGAATTCAATACGGTGATTCCGAATTTGCAAGCCCCATTGACGCCGTCACAACTATTGAATAAGTAGATGGTGTAGTAGTGATTGTGATACTAGAGTATCAATAACTAATGCTTTCCCTATGTAAGAATCCTCAACTTTTGCTGAGCAGTGTCATCGAGATGGGAACAAGAAGTGCACATCGATGAACGTATCTACGACATGATGACGCATGTATTGGAGAAATTCGGTTTGGAGTTGCCTGATCGAGTGCCCTCAACAGTGACGACGAAGCAGTTGCTGTGCAGTACTGATATCGATCTATGTATCACTTGTCGTAGAATTCGACGTGTTCTGGACGGTGTGGTATCGTGTTGTCTATCAAAAGGCGCTGAGATCACCGCGTGTAGATTGGGAACCGCTTCACATCCATGCGCAGTAGTAGCGCGGTTAGTTGTAGTAGTCGGTTTATTCGTTGCTTGGACACCGCCGCAAGCCAAAGTCTCACCAACACAGTTAGGATCAGTGGGCTCCAAGCCAATCGATCCATCATTCCTCTCAATCAAACCGAAACAGACGGAGGGAGTTTCCCAGTACTTGCAGTAAGAGCCGTATTTCGAGTCCGCACATCCACTCACATCAGAGCACATCACAGTGCACGGGTCCTCGGTGGCCATCACAGAGGAGACGACCGGGACAAAAATCACGCGAAGCAGCTCGAGTGAGGTCTCATTGCTGATAGCCTTACCAAAGATGAGTACTTCAGAAAGGAGGAGTACGCTTTCACCTTAGAGGAAAAGGAAGTCTAAGATGAGCAGAAAGTCTCAGTCGTCGGACAGTAGAGGCGTCCTCTGGCGTTGTAGTGGTTGAACTTGCTTAATAGGGGCCAACCTGGAGAGGGAAAGAGACGCCGACGGCTTCCGACCTGGGGACTGGTGGGCAAGGGCGATCGCGAGTCTCACGACATAGTTGATAACAGGCACGAACAGCGAGCTATTACTGCTCCTATCGGTCTGAATGATGATGAAGAGGTTAGTGATACAGAAGGCGGCATTTCGGAGGTGCACGTGAGAAACGCGCCGTTCCTATGTAGTTCAAGTCCCAGGAGAATACAAAACGTCCATCAACCATTACGACGAGTCGTAGTGCTTCAGCTCCCTACGGTGAGCTGGTTACGATAAGACGACTTCCACTGGCACGCGAAACGATCACTGATCGTCGATCAGTCAGGTGAGAATCGGCCGTACAGGGCCACTGGCAGCAAAGCATTCTCTTCGAGAAGAACCATTCAGCATTCAGCCAGCAGTGTGGCTACTTTAAGGCGGCCTACTGTCAAATCAGGTTCAAGTTGGGGATGGCGCGGTATCCAGCTCATTGCCAGTCCTGTA